CCCCCCCCCCCCTCCTTGTTGCACGATGGAGCAGAAGAGTATCTCTTGAGCATTGACGACGGCTCAGAGGCTAGCAAGCTCATGCGAAGGATTGCTTCGCTGCTGCGGGGAAAACTTAGTATGCGGTGAGTTTGAGGGAACAGGAGGAGAGAGGCCGTGTGATGTTTTGGGGGCGAAGCATGCGGTGTGCCTGCACAATGCTGTCGGGGCAACGCGGGTGTGCTTTGTACTGATAAACTGTCTTTGTGGAGGTGGAGGGAAGAGGGAAGAGAGGGAGAGAGAGAAGGGGGTCCGGGAAGAGAAGCAGCGAGGCAACAGAGACGGAGATACATCCAGACTAGCAGACAGAGAAGCGCAGGAAGGCGCAGCGAGAGAGAGAGAGAGAGAGAGAGAGAGAGGCAAACTGCAGGGCAGAGATAGAGAGGAGAAGGAGAATCACTCATAGGAAACCAGAAGGAAGGTACGTAGGCAACCAATACCAAAGACGTTGGAAGGGGAGGAAGTAAGAGAAAGACATGCACACCAAGAGAAAAATCAAGGACGATGCTCTAGCCTCTTGCGAAACGGACGAGACAAAACGTTTGCCCCGTCGTGATCCTCGGCCTCAAGCTCGAGGGAAGGAAATGCTTCGCATGCTTCTGCCGGTAGCAATGACGGCAAGCCCACCCTTGGACAGCTATCACCAGACGGGCAAGCAATTGGATGTGGACAGCGCGTAACGCTTACGCTGCACGCGAACCTGCCGCGTGTTGTGTTGTTGCTCACCATGGGAGCGTAGAGGTACTACTACGTCGGGCGACCGCGAAAAATTGGGGACGAGGGGAACCAACAATTTTCCCAACGCCTCGGAGTCCCTTCACCCCTATTTCCTCCACAGGATATGTTGCACTAGCCGCCGCAGGTGTAAGTGCCCCTAGGTTCGCTTCGCGAGGACAACCCGCTGTCGATATCCCCCTTGTCTGCGCGCGAGGACAACCCGCTATTGATAGCCCCCTTGTCTGCGCGCCCCCCCGCCTATCCTCGCGTGTTGACGCCGCAGCGAGATAGTCTGGCGCCTCGAGATGACAAGCACCGCGTCCTTGGAGGTTGCCTTGGCCAAGCACGAACACATCCTTTACGAGGTGTGGCGGCCCGCTCGAGACCCAGATGCGGCGTGATTTTACATTCTCTTTTATTTCTTTATTGTTGGTCCTATGTCGGTGCAGGTTGTCGGCTTGAGTATGGAGGTCCTTGTCTTGGCATATTCTTTTTTTGTCGATCGTTTTGTGGTGACGAGTAGGTTGGGAGCTGTGATCGCCGCTGGACTAGAGAGAGATACGTAACTGTGTTGAGAGTTGAGCTTGGACACGGTCTGATGCGTTGGATGCGCTTGGGGTGAATTAATGCTCACTGGCCGCGCGCTCTACTCCTTCGCTTTTCGCGACAAGTCGAAAGCATTCGCTACCGAGGGAAGCTTGGGGTGTGCCTCGGGTACGTTAGGAACCTATGTAGTTTTTATTATGCGAACATGTTGGATGGAGTATGGAATCGGGAGAATTTCCGGGTTTACGGTTACGGTTACATTTACGGTTTGGGACTACATAACCCCTACCTCTCTTGTTTCATGGACAAAGCTCTATTTCTTCGTGTGGGCTCTCCCTCTGGTAGAAAGACCCGGCTTCGTGCCCCATATACCCTGCCCTGTCTTGAGCGAGGCATGGAGGTGGCGAAAGTCAGGGACCAGGCTGGCGCTTACAACAGACTGCTGCATGGAATCCCTTTGAAAGTGGATTGTACCTGGGGGTAGTCGATAGCTGTACTAGATGCGGGTTAGGTAGTCAATCGGGGGGCGCGGGCGGCCCGATAAGCATGTGTGCTGAGGGTGTACCTTAAGCGTTGCAAAGTTTAAGCGCGGCGTTCCAAGCACCTGGTGGGATATGCAGTTCCATTTCTATATGGCGTTGGGATATTTTCTCCAACACGTGTGGGTCTGGTAGTTTAAGGGAAGTGAGTACCCACTCGGCTCTTTGAGTACTCTAGAAATTTAGGCGAATTCCGCGCGACCCCCCCACTCCACGGAGGGAAAATAAGTATACAATCCGTAGGGCCCCTGGTATATTTACCGTGGTGTTAGGACGCACGAAACTTGAGAACAAAAGTTCCGAACACCCGAGGTGTTTTTCTTTCGTGTACACGATCGCCTGCTGTCTGTTCGCCTGTTTTGGTAGGGTTGGGGTCCTAGAGATTTGGTCGGTGGGGCTTTCCCCCACCGCCTTGCATCCCACCGCCGGGCATATGTCGGCGCCTTTATGGCGCTGATGGCCTTGTCTTCGGAAAAATGGCGTAGTCCCGAGAGGGGTGTTGGAGGTCCATCGGGGGCACGTGCCACCAAGGCTCGGTGCGCAGCGTTTGACTGGCTGGGTTGCTGTGCGTCGTGTGTGCCATTGGTGCTTCCCTTTGCCCCCACCCCCTCAGCTTGCTCACCGTACGGTGTTGGCCTCTCTGAATAGAGGAGCTTAGATCCGGGGTCGCACACGGAAAGGCATTCCTCTTGTGTGGAAATAGTGTTTGATTGTGTTTTACGTCTCTGAAGGCCGCGGGATTTTCAACTTGCCCACACACGCGTTTGGGGGCTTCGACTAGGACCACCACATCTGCGGAAGGATCAATCAACCACATTTTGCACAGTGCTTTCTTTTTTCTTGACAGTTTCCCTGCTTCCATAACCCTATTGGTTTTCGAAAGGAACGAGTAGTAGTTGCTCGCCCAGCCGTGTGAACGTCGCGTCACGAGTGGATCCTAGGAGCTGTTACAGGCACGCAACGTCTCATGATGGAGCTCTAGTACCTCGCACGGGAGCGATCCAAGGTGGCCCTCAACTTCGTCGAGCAGATGTTTCAGTTAGCTGACCTATGGAAGTCATCCTCAAGAGTGCAATGTTTACCGCGGCGATTTTGTACGGGTAAGGCTGGAGCTTCTTCCAAACCTTTCTTCTGTGATGCAGTAAGAAGTATATGCCCCCACCCGCATATCTATACTCAACGACAAAGTAACCGGCGCGCGAAATGTGACAAGGAATGAATGCGGCTCTACAGATACCCGAACACATTGTGAAGGCCCCACGTTGAACGCAATGCGATTGCAAGCGCTAGCTAACTTCCAAGAGCATGCCAACGAAATCGCCGGCGTGTGACCACGGAAGGCGTCCGCGTTAGTTGGACCAGTACGGACACAATTAAGGTACTGGGCGGAGACCGGAACGGTTTTCAACGTGAAAACAGCAACCGCACGAATAGACTACAGTAGACCGTCCTCAACCGAGTTGCGGTGTCTACCGCTCACAAGAGTTCGAACCGGGGATGGGCGCGCCAAAGGTAGGTGCCCCCCCCCGTCCCCGCCCCCGGGAGATATAATCTCCATATGTTCAGAAACCATGCGTGTCGACGTTGTCGTATGGTGCCACTACGATTTGCTGGTAGATACTTCGAAGGAGGGCCCACTTGCACCCAATAATTGCACCGTTGGAGCACCAATGAGAAGATGGAATTCAGCAGATTCAGCTGCGCCGGCCCGCTTGCTTGATGTGGGCATGCGCCACAGTGTTGACTGCCTGATTCGCCGCGTCCTGAATAGCATGGGTCACTTTCTCCTGCTTGTTTTTCATCCAGGGCCTGATGTACTGGAGATGGAGACACCTGGCCGTTGATGAATGCATGTCGCAGTTGATTGCCGGGTGTCTCAACAAGGTGTGAAGAACATGCACATTGATTGGTGGTCACGAAACAGAGCATGATTTTGGAAAGTGTGCCCAAGTCGCACATGAATTAATGTTCCATTCAGATCATGCCCAAAGTGGAGGACAGCAGTATAGTATCTTATCGGTACACAGTCAAGACACCGACTATTTTTTCGACCTCATGATTGACAGCGGGAAAATATGTAGAAGAATTGGATATTTGAATGTTTGGGGATGCTTAACCAAGACGAGCACCGCGGAAAGCACTTGGATAGAAAGTGAAACAAAATTCCTGTGCGGTATTCCTCCTGGGTGAACACGGCCATGTAGTTCGTCCACATGTATGGTAAGTACACAACGGGTGTACTTTGCTGGTCAAGGAACAAATTCCACATACATACGTGGTACGGTACTGGGCGGTGTTTCAAGCAAGCCGCTCTCTATGACTCACAAAGCACTACAAAGTACATGCCAAGAGACCTTCACTGCCAATCAATTCCGATCAGACGGATTCACCGAGACACGATTGCTCACTCCTGCAGGCGGCATCAGCCGCACACTCTCACTACAAATAACGCAGTGAAACAAAGGTGAAGATCATCAGCCGAATTCATCCCCGGGGCGGTGCTCCACTAACCTTACTATCGGAATGCCGAATGTAACCCCGAAGATTATGGCAAGTATGTAGTACACCAACGATACCGCCATCCTGCCAGTCACGCCACCACCGTTGGATGAATGCCAGTTATCACGTGTCCCCTTGAGGTTCTGTTGGTGTCGATGTGTTGATATATGTAGGTGGTGTTTGGGTGGTGCCTACAAGTACTGCTGTACTACTGCAGCTGTATCCGTGCTGATGAGCGCAATGCGTTCCTCGTGCTACACAGCGTAGCGAAACAGCAAGTAGTACATTCTGGATATTGTTTGGCACGCGGCCAGACGATCTCTATCTTGTAACTTGTAACCGAAGTGACTGGCCGTACTTTCGCCCAAGTGGCCCGTCCATTCGCACAAACCATTTTGCCGCCGACAAAATGTTGCGGGTCGAAAAGGTGGGTTGAATGTATCGCGGCGAACTTCGTCGAGCACTCCTGATGACCCTTTTGCGAACCTTCGACCCATGTTTCAGACACTGTCTTTCAGCCAACATGTACGGACAACCTTGTCTATGCCTCTGTCTCTCTACCTCTCTCGAGAACCCTGGTATACGAACCGCGCATAGGGACAAACTCTTCGACATGACGAGTCTTCGGTCTCTTGCTTCTTGCTTGGTTCGGCGGTCACAGTTTTTTTCCGTGTCGCACCGTGCTCTCCCTTCTTCCCCTCGCTCCTCGACAAGCTTTTGCTTAGACATGGGTTGTAGTGAAGGGGGGGGTCTTTCTGGCGAGCAGGGCTAGACTCACCCTCAAGGGATGACCGAAACCTTCTTGCTGCTGCGCATATCCGCCGCGAGGCATGCGCGTGGTGGTGTAGTTGGGTCGGCACTGATGGGGTCAG